CCTTCTTGAAGGACTCATCAGGATTATAACTGCACTTGATTTTTTTTATTAGTTGAGGATGAACTAAAAGAAAAGGGTAAGGGTTCATTTTGGATAAATCCTCAAAAGTTCAGAAAGCTCACAAGACTCCCACTGAACTTTCTTAATTTCTCTACAGCTTTGTGTTCTGTATAATTATCCATACTTGTGAAGGGTAAACTTCTCTTGCCTTCATCTCTGTCACTGTCGATTGCCTGTTGATCCCAGAAGCAGTTCCACCCTTCTGTGAGGGCCCTGCACTACTTTCTCCTGGCTCACACAAGGTTGACATTGTCTTGGAAGATGCAGAGGCAGCTCTTCCTTGAGTATGCTATACCTCAGAGTGGATTCCATTCAAATTACAGAGCCCATAGGCAGGGGCCAGTGGGGGAAAAGTCTTGAAATTAAGATTTTAAAAAGGAAAGACCTTTTGAAAGTGAATGTGCTAGTAAATCTTCCTGGTACAACTTGAGTAATGGTCACCATTTCTCTTACTCACAGAAGAGTGAACAAAAACATTTTCCACTCTCACTTCTAAGAATTTTCTGACACAGTCATTTCAGCAGTCTTACTGGGGAATTTTCAGAAGTGTTTTCTAATCTAGCCTCACTCCTAAGGCAATGTCGCCCCTGATAAGCAAGAGGAAAAGGGAACTAAAGTTACTTTAAAAGGGTTCATGTTTCACCCAAGGAAGTCATACAGAGGATGGAAAGCTCACCACACCATCGGAGAGTCAGGAGTCCTTGTTTCATGTCCTGGCTCTGGCACTCATCTGCAGGCACACCTTGCCCCAGCCATTCACTTTTCTGAGTCTCAGTCCCTCCTCCATCAGGAAAGTGAGGGTTTGGATGCAGCCTTTAAGGAGCATCTTATATTAAAACTTTTAGTGACAATAATATTCATAACAGTTATATAGTAACACCACCTATTATTGAGAATTTATCATGTGCAATGCCACTTTCTAGCTGTGTGAATTTAGGGCAAGATACTTAAGCTCTTTGGGCCTCAGTTTCCTCATTTGTAAAATCAAGATAATACAACTCATCTACCACATAGTGTTGTCATGAGAATGAATTAGTTAACCCATGTAAAATCCTATATGCTTGCCCTAGGAAGGCCTCAAGAAATGTTATGTCATTATTATGTTCTGGACATTATGTCAAAAATATTATGCAAATTTAGAGTATTTACAGCTCTCTCCCAATGCCAAAATCACTGCTTAAGTTAGTTAATCTGGAAGTGGGAAAATAGGCTGCCTGAAAAATAACAGAGAGGTAACAGAATCAGTGAAAATAAAAAGGGGGATACATTAACTACCTGTTTTAAAAATCAGAATTTTAACTAAACATTTTTAATGTCTTTATTATTATTATTTTTAGACAGATAAAATGTATTTAACTGAGGTTTCTTTAAAAATGATCACATGATCTCATTTATATGTAGAATCTAATGAACAAAAGAAACTGACACACAAAACAGATTTAGAGACAT